AAGCTGACAAATTATTTGGGTGCACTGGGTTATTTGTTCAAATTTTAGGCAACTTGAGACACTGTTTAAGAACACTGAGCAGTGTCTGGATGCTCTTTGGAAGGGTTTGTGCTGCAGCACAGGAATAAGGTGTTGCCATTATTTTTGTGATTTTTCTGATATAAAAGAGAAGAGCAAAATGCAAATATATTAGAGATTATTACCTGAGAATTCCTAACCTAAGAGGAATTATTACTTTTTTTCTTCTTAAAAGTATTAAAATCTAAAATCTAGTTTTATCTCTGGGAGCACTTTATTCATTACATCTATAATTCTACTGGTTTTTGGCCAGGGTAAAAATGTTTAAAAATAACAAATTTTGTGATTTTGGACGTAAAACATGACTCCTAAAATTCTGTGTGTTGTGATGGGTTTTTTTTTGTTCTTTTGTTGTTGTGTCCTATCCTTGTCCTGTTGTCTTTTGTGTCACGTGTGTTGTTTCCCCCAGTCTTATTCTCAGGGACAGTCTCGTGCCAAACCTCAGATTGCCCTTCAGATCCCATGGGTGATGCCAGCCAAAGTGATTTGGCAACTAGATGGGAATGCTGGAACACTTTCAGAAATATGTATCTAAAAGCAAACTATTGCATCTGTGGAAATTGCCCATTTCATTCTCAGAGCTGCGTGAAAAAATTTTAATTGGAGCCATTACCAAAACACCAGGGCAGGATGTTGTCTGGTCCCCACAGTGGGATTGAGTTCAAGGATGAGACATAGAATCCCAGAAATATTTGGGTTGGAAGGGACCTTAAAGCTCATCTCCTTCCACCCCTCCCGTGGGCAGTGACACCTTCCACTATCCCACGTTGCTCCAAGCCCTGTCCAACCTGGCCTTGGATGCTTCAAGGGATAGGGCAGCCACAGCTTCTCTGAACAACCTGTGCCAGAGCCTCACCACCCTCCCAGGGAACAATTCCTTCCCAATATCCCATCTAACCCTGCCCTCTGGCAGTGGGAAACCATTCCTCCTTGTCCTGTCTTTCCAGGCCTTTGTCCAAAGTCCCTCTCCAGCTCTCTTGGAGTCCCTTTAGGCACTTGAAGGGGCTCTTATGTCTCCCTGGAGCCTTCTCTTCTCCAGGTGAACACCCCCAGCTCTCCCAGCCTGTCTCCAGTGCAGAGGGGCTCCAACCCTCAGAGCATCTCTGGTGGCCTCCTTTGGACTCACTCCAGCATTCCTTGAGAATGTGGCTGTCCTGGATGTTGGAAATGCAAAATAGGACATGCACCTTGGCTGCAGATGTTAAACCATGCAGAAATGGAGCCCATTCCTTGACCGATGCTTATGTAGGGGTAAGGTGGCTGTCCAGAGTACACAGAAAAATCATGGAATCATTTAGGTTGGAAAAGACCTTGAATCCATTAAAAAAACCTCAAAGAAGCTACTGGAAATCAACGTGACAAGGAATTTAAAAGGAACATGGGAAAAACCGAAGGGTTCAATGAAAACCAGCAATTGACATGAACCATTGTGTTATGGAGAGAGGTTTCCTTGAGCAGATTATTCCACTGGTATCCTGTGCTTGGATACAGACAGGAAGGGCACTGTGCCCCAGTGTTCTGCCTGTAGGTGACTACCAACCCATGGATACCCTGCTTCCGTTGTCTGTGACCTCTTTCCATGTGGAATTTTGGCTCTGTGATGCAGACCAGAAGCATCAATTCCTTTGGAGATTACTTCTGTCGTTCAGTTTCCATCTTTTGTCACTAGAGGGAAGGAACGGGTGCAGGAGAGTTAAACGCACAGAAGGAAACGAAGCAAAAAGCCAAGTGTGAAGTCTGGGAATCAGTCTTGAGTATTTGTGCAAACTGTTGAAGGAATACTTGCAAACAACAACTAAATTTAGCTTTCTGAAATGATTCTAAACAAAAATATGCAACTGAATAACAACGATTTCAAGAAGACTTCTGTCAAGAAATTCTTGTTAAGACAAGATTTGTCTCCATGGGAAGTGTGCACTCACTAGTGTGTGCCCAGGTGACCAAGAAGGGCAATGACATCATGGCCTGTAGCAGGACCAGGGCAGTGACTGTCCCCCTGTACTGGGCACTGGTGAAGCCACACCTCAAGTCCTATGTCCAGTTTTGGGCCCCTCGCGACAAGAAAGACATTGGGGGGCTGGAGCATATCCAGGGAAGGGAACCATGCTGGGGAAGGGTCTGGAGCAGCATGAGTGGCTGAGGGATCTGGGGGGGCTCAACTCATTGTCTCCCTGAGAGCTTCCTGGACTTGGCAGGTGCGGGAGATCCAGATGAAAGGATTCAGTCCCTAGAGCAACCTTGACTGCCGTAACTGCTATTGACTTTTGACCTGCTTGTTTTTCCATTGATCTGCAAATAGCCTGAAAGGCAGGGATATGAATCTAAAAATGAACAAAACAAAATAAAAAGCTTCATCTTAGCTATTGTTGATAGAAATTTATCTGATCTTTTGCAAAATTAATAGAATGATGCTGGGGACATGTCTTTTGTTCTTCTTGTTCAAAGAAGAGCAAGTTATTTGATTGTTTGTTAAGGTCAAGTAAGAGCAACATCATGCGACTCATTAAAGGTTACAGAGCTCTCCCTAAAATTAGATCTCAACTATTATATCCCATCTCTCTGTGGATGATCTGAGTACTGAATGTACCAGAACATTCAAAGAGCCTCTGACATGCGACAGCCCTGTGAAGTTTTTCACATCTGAAAACTGACTCCCATGTGGTTCCATGTTGCCTTCCTCTTGCTGCCAAGACAAGAGACCCTCTCCAGCCTTCTTTAGGGACTGGACATTTACATTTCCAGGTGTTTGGCATGGGATGTGCTTTGGTTGCTGACTCAAGGAGCTGGAAAGGCCCTGTGGGAGGTTATTGCACATCTGTGAACATGGAGAGGTGGCAGCATGTGTGTGGGACAGCTCCACCTGCCAGTAACAACTCCCTGTTAGTGAGAGCTCCCATGTCGTGTGCCCAGCCCATTCCCAAGGGCATGGTGCTGCCTCAGAAGCATTCCTAACAATGTTTTGAATACTACATGTTTCAGCTGTACTTGCAGGAGGCTCCTGCTGCCATGGTCGATGGCTGGGCACTACGGGCTGCGGCAGCTGCGTGTGTGCGACACAGGGATTGTGTCACTGTGCAGTTGTGCTTAACATGAAAAAGGCATCACTGTGTTCCAGTGATAATAATGCCAGCGAGGCCTCCCCAGCCACCATGTGAGAGCCAATCTCTCTCTTCCCCTTTCTCTTTCCTTATCAAGGAAACTCTGTAGTATCGTGTGCTGCAGAAGAAGAGGAAGAATTCCCTTTTGTGTACACTAGAATTTCTTTTGGCAGCTGGGAAGGTCTTTTGGAATGCAGTAATGAAGGGTAGAGCTTACAGGAACTGGGATCCGGCTTTACCGACAGAGCACGCAGTGGAAGCATCGTGACTATTAAAGATTTTTTTTTACTTGGAACATTCTACTCCCAAATCCTTCTGATGCAAATTGTGGGTAGGGGAAAATGGTGCACCAGAAAAATCCGTACCCTGGCAGCAGATGAAAGGGAGAGAACTGTGGGGAAATGGCACACGTGGGGTGGCAGAGCTGCTGTGAGGGACAATCCCGACATTGTGTGGGCCAGATGTGCATGAATTTAGTGTGGGAATGCTCAGAACTGCCCGAATGGAGCACTCATGCAATTCCTGTGCCACAGCAGCACAGTGCTTACGCAACTTCTCTTGATCAGTAGAGGGGAGTAATTCCTGTAGGGATTCAGGCTGATCCTGGAAAGCGGGTGTTTAGTAAACAAATGGAGCAACCACAACTCCCTGCTCAGTGTGTTTGCCAGAGGCTGGGAATGATGTGTGTGTGTGTTGGAGAAGACCACAGGAGGAAAGAAGTTCCTCATTCCTGGGTGTCTACAGGGAATCAATCTGTAGGGGATTTTTTTTTGCTTCTTATTGAAGATCTCCAGTAGAATTTTAGGAAATCCTTGGTGAAGCCCTCTACATATCCTGGTTGAATTTTGGGAAATAAACTGTCAGTGGATTCTTGGTTGTTAGCGAGGGTCTCCAGATGCCCTGGTAGAATTTTGAGAAATAATAAGTGAGTGTTTTTTAGCTCCTCATTGAAGATCTCTTGTTATCCTGGTAGAATTTTGAGAAACAATCTGTCAGTGGACTTTTACACCTTGGCGAAGGCTTCTAAATATCCCGGAAGAATTTTGGGCAATAATAGGTCAGTGAATATTTAGCTCCTCGGTGAAGATCTCTAAATGTATGTCCTGGTAGAATTTTACGAAATCATCTGTTGGTGATTTTCTTTTCTCCTTGATGAAGGTTTTCAGCTTTCCTGGTAGAATTTTGGGAAATAATCTGTCAGTAGATTTTGTCCCTTGGAGATGATCTCTAAATGCCCTGGTAGATTTTTGCTTTTGGGTGAAGATCTCTAGATATCCTGGTAGATAGAATTCTGGGAAATAATCTGTTCGTGGATTTTTTGCTCTTTGGAGAAGATCTCTATCTGGACTAATTTTTCTAGTAATAATTTTAGGAAATGGAAGTATCAGAGTGGCCGACCCTTTTTCCAGAAAGGTCTGGATTGTTTGTTTGGAAATTCTAGCAGCTCCCAGGGGACTCTCACCGTGGAGCCGCGGGTGCCGTTTCTAGCACTGCCGCCTCAGCACAGGCTCTGACTCGCTGGCTTTTGGCAAAGTGGCCAATTTTTCTGAAATATTCTGTGTGGAGAGGGCCGGAGGAGCGGGCCGGGTGGGATGTGGCACAGCAATAGGCTGGGAAGGCGGGGGTGGGGGGTCCGTGGTGCCCGTGGGAAGAGGCGGGGGGGTGGGGGATTTCACGAGCCGGGATGCCGAGGAGGGCGGAGCGGGAAGCCCGGGATAAGGGGGCCGAGCATCCCTCCGCCGCCGGGCCGGTTGCCAAGGCGACGGCTGCGTGGCAACGGGCTGGCAGCGGGGACCGCCCGCCGCCGCCGCGGAGCCGCCGCGCAGAGCGGGCGCGCTGCCCTCCTCGCTGGATGCTGCGGTGGCCGCCCGGGAGCAGCCGCGCTCCGCTCCCGGTCCCCCACCGCCGGTGCCGACCAGGGGCCGAGCTCACCGGGAGCAGCAGCGCTCGGTCTCCGCTGCCGGGACCAGCGCGGCGCGGAGATGGTGCCGCTGGTGCGGAGCGCCGGGGGCTCCCACCAGTGGCTGGCGATCGCTTTCCTCGGCCTTTGCTCGTTCCTTCCTCCCGGGAGATTCGCTGCACCGGGCGGAGACTTCCCCGGGGCTGCCGTGGACAATCTGGTGGTCAGGAAAGGGGACACGGCGGTGCTTAGGTAGGAGGCGATTGCGGGCGGGAGGGATGCAGGGACGGAGCGTCCCCGCCGCCGCAGCATCCCCGAGATGCCCAAGGCTCCGCCGGGAGCCTCCGACCTCTCTCGGGGACGATGCGGCGGCGGGAATTTCCCCCGGGGATGCTTGTGGGGTGCCCCGGTGATGCGGGAAGTTATCCCTGTCACCACCCGGTACCCACATCCCCAGAGCTCCGGGCTGCTCGCCCGCTCCCGGGGTGGTTTCGTTCCGCGGTTTCTCCTGTTTTAACTCTATTTAGGAAGCCCAGTCTGTTGCTAGAAGTTTGGAAACGGGTTGTTGGGGTGAAATGATGCAGTTTTGGCTTCTGGCAGCAGTTTGGGAGCTCTGCAGAGTGAGCAGCGCTGGACTGTGGCAGGGAGAGGACGATTACACCCTGCCAGAAGCATTAACATTGGTATTATTATTTATTTTGAGATATATTTCTGTATTTCTCAACGAGAAATGCCATGCTTTATGCCACGAGGAAATTTTATTCCTCTTTCTCCTAATAATGGACCTTGTGCTCCCATATCTCCTCATTACTTGACTGGAGCAAAATTTGTTTACCAGCAGTTGGGCACCATAGTTAATCTACTCGAGTCCTTCCTTCTGGTTTGTGTTCATTAATCCTCTGCTTGACTTGATTATTCCCCCAGCCCCTCAGACTCTTAACTTTTTATTTGTGTGTTGTACTTTTGCCATGATCTTTCTGTAGTTCTAAAACCCCATATTTTCTCCTTCTCTGGAATATGGTTGTAGTGGGTTGAATCTCCTCACTGGTGATAAATCTCTGATTTTTAATTAGCAGCACTTCTCAGCTATGAAGTCAGGCTGTATTATTTTTGTTGGACTGTCACTGAAATCTCCAGGTTGCAGTGTGTTTTATCCATAAGCATTTTCAATGATCCTACAGTCTGCTGTAAAATGCTGCATGAAGCATTTTCAGTAGAGATTTGGAAGCGTTTTCAGGCTGCTCCTGGTGTAGTAGCTCCTGAAAATACAGTAGATGTCTATGTAGGGCAGCTGACAAGTGGGTTTTATGTGTACCTCAATTATACTCTGTATTTTGAGACGTACTCAAGTCCTTGTGCTTTCTGTCAGCACAACTGGAGGATCAAAGGAAATAATAATTTTAAAAAGTGGTTTCTTTATACTGCTTCAGGCTCACAGGTTGCAGAGAAGGTAACTTGGTGGGTTCACAAGCAGTTAAGACAGATAATCAGTACTAGATGCTATTAGGATATAAATGTGTTTAAAACTACAGCATTAAAAACAGGTGTGATTGCTCTCAATGTTATCTACCGGTGGGGTTCTGGTGGAGCATATCCAGCTTTCCAGGCCTAAGGTTGTGTTTGGAACTCGGTGTCGATGCAGCTGGATAGGTTACATAAACGAAATGGGAGCTTTAGGCTGCAAACATCACTTTGGTCTCACTAGGAAGGGTGTGTGTGTGTTTTGTAAAGAGGTGCTGCTACAGGAAATGTTCACCTCACTGCTGAGCTCTGGGACAGAGGGATGAGGTGCTGGAATTTTGAGTGTTACATCTGGATTTCATTCTTCATGCCCTGTGATTAACTTCTCTCATTTCCTGTGCCTTCAGCAGGCTTGCTTTAAACTAGGGATTATTTTGTTTTAGGCTAGTGTTGTAACTTGGAAGGGGCAGTGCAGGATCACTGTGGGAGCAAACACTTTGAGAAGAGCATGCAGCAGCCAGGCAGAACCTGTTATCCCGAGTCTCCCACTGCCCAGCATCTCAGCTTCTCTGGGAGTGTTCCTCACTGGATATTTGTATCGTAAACTAATTTCAATATTCAGTAAAATAATTGCTATTAGTATCCTAAGTATTGGAAGCTGACTCTTTATTTAAATACAAATTCCAGCGAGCTGGATAAAACCATTTGGGTGCTGGAAAAGGAGTTCCTTCCAGCTCTGTAGCCATCTGAATTCAGCCCTTCCCAGTGACTGTGCCTCGCAGTGTCCAAAGTTGACTGCGCTCCGGAGTTCCCAGCCTCTCATAGCAAGATGACCATGGGCTCCCTGTGGCCAGCATGTGTTGATTCCCCCCTCAGCACCACCTTCTCTGCTTTAGCGGTCTTGAGAGGGCTTCAAACGTTGCCTCTTCCCCTCGGAACCAAGGCAGCACTGTGCCAAGAGCATCCTGCTTTAATAATTAAAGCTGGAGTATGGGCGGCACTCCCATGGCTTTGAGTCAGCATTTTCATGGCTGTCAGAAGATGAGGGTGATTTATGGGGTGTGTGTTGAGGTGGAGCCAGCCCCCAGCAAGGGGCGTTGCAAGTGCCCTTGCTTGGGCGCGGACCCTGCGTGGGGCTGAGGACCTTGAGCAGCTGGATTACACATCACCCCATGTTCTGAGCTCCCCAGGAGAGTGAATAAATGGGGTTACCTGTGTTGAACTGAGGAGAAACTTTTACTCACAAGTCTCATTTTGAGCTGATATGTCAGAGGAAAGCACGTAGCCTGTTTGAATGAGTATGGGGCAGGTGGGCCAGGTGCCAGCCCCAGTTCTCAGGTGAAGTTTTCATTTTCTTTGCTGAAGACGAGCAATAAAGGCTCCTGGAACTGCTGAGGTTTTCCAGTAAAATCCTCTGTGTGTTAACACGGAGTAAAATAAATAAGTTTGGCTCCCTCATTTTGAAATAGTTAACTCATATAACAGTGTAATTAGTCAATTTAGTATCAAACACCACAGCATTTATTTAGTGCTGCAGAAGCAGCACAGTGAGTATCATCCCCGTCCTGGTGCTCTTGGAGCATCACTCTCTGCCCAGTGCTCTGGGAACGTCTCTCCCTGCCTGGTGCTCTGGGAACATCGCTCCTGTCTGCTGCTCTTGTTCATCCAAACCCCTTTCCTCCTCACCCTCACGGCACCCCTGGGATGGGTGCCCTCTCCAGCCCCATTGCCAGGACCAGGACCATCGTGGGGCTGGGTCCTGCTTTGCTGTGCCCAGGTGGTACTGGGATGCTGGGATTCTCCCTTGGCCTCCCTGGCCAGCAGTTCCCAATGCTGGCAGAGGCACAGTACCCACGTGGCCCTTCATGAAGGACTGACGGAAGAGCAGGTTTGCCAAGAATGTCACTGGACACCTGGTTTAGTACAGAAACACCCTCAGCAAGGGGATTTTACAGAAAAGCTCTTGTTAGCTGAGGAGTTCTGTCTGTGATGAGTTATTTCTGTAGCCTCAGTAATTAAACCCAGGTCCCTTTTGTTTGATTTCAATTGGCGATTGATCCCTGCAGTCCCAACACTATTTGTATTTATTTAAGTTATAAGAAATCACGTCAGTAACGTGGTTGTTCTTCGTGGCAGAATAATGTTGGGAAGCCGCTCATTTTCAGTAGTAGTATTCCATCCTGTTCTTCCCAGGCAGCCTGTTAAGATTTCCTGAGAACACATGAGGAAGGAGAGAGTAACTTATAAACCCATGATTTTATTAGAAGAATATATTGCTTCACTGTGGACTGCTAGAAATGCAGGGAACAAGCTGTATATTCAGAGCTGGGTTTCTCCCATGACCCTTTCCAAGACCTTCTGTAAGGAGTGGGATCACTGTGTGTTCCAGCATATCCATCTCACTGACAGCAGAAGTGGAGATTTCAGGAGGGGAGTGTTTTAGGAGAGGTGACAAATGCAGAGCACTTGACAGGATGCAGGCACAGCCAGAGTCGGGAGCAGGGCTCGCGTTCTAGGGCTGGATGCCCAGGGGGTATGAGACACCTCCACTTGAGAAGGGCTTCATCCCCTTCCAGGTGATGTGGGGAGGACAGTGGAGAGCTCACATTGGGGTGGCAGCAAGAGGCATTTCTGGTTCTGTGAGAAATAAAAGAATTCCTCTTTGCCTTCCTGTGGTGATGCTGATCTCGGTTACAGCTGATGTGAGTGTGTGTGGCCCCTGTGGCTTTAGATAACGCAGGAAACAGGGATGTTGTCTTAGCGGTCCCCATGTACCTCACCTGCCATTTGGAGCCTGAGTCCTCATGGATATCAGAATGTGCAAAATGTGCTGAAGATGATCAAAAGGGCTTTTTCTAGAAAGCAAATGTTTTTATCCTGCATTTTGTTTTTCTCGAAGCTCATGGATAATGAAGGTAACTCTACCTGGTAGCATCTTTATAGTACCTTTATGTTCTGTCATTGCAGCAAATTGAGCTTCAGAAGTTGTCATGGTTTTGAAAAAGCAAAAGATCTTTCTACCAGTATATGATTATAGAGGAATTTAGGTAACATGGGCTCTGCAGTCTGTAAAATACTGCGAATTACTCGCTTCAAAGAGTTAAACCTCAGGCTGGGATCCGTGATGTTCCCAAAGGCTGGCAGGAGGAGCTGGAAAGCAGATATCTGTGTCCAGCTGTGATCACAGAGCAGACGTGGGTTCTTGTCAAACCTGGCTGGGAAATCCGGGGATCACTTTTAGGCCAGCCATGTGAGCAGGTCAATGAACTGATTGATCCATGTGTTTGCCCACAGTTGTCCCTTTTGGCCATCCCATGAATGTTGTCTAAGGTTTGGGCAGCTGATGGTCACCTCAGGAGGGTGATTATAGAGAATGTCTTTTTTGGTCACAGCTCAGGAGGTCTGGGGCTTTTTAGTTTGTTTGCTGAATTGGAAATTCTTTGTGTGCAGCCTGGCTGCTTCTCACTGCACCTTGGAGACTTTTGGGTCTGTGTTGTGTCCACTCTCCCCTGCCTTGGGGACCTGGGGCAGTCGCCAGACGTTGCGGATAAGCTCCTGGCAAGGCAGGACAGGTTGTGGGGATCTGGAGCTGTCCCCAAACACTTTGGGTGAGCCCCTGATGAGGCAGGATGGGCTGTGTCTGCAGACGAGCTCTGCCCAGGGGTGTGTCTTATTGTTTTTTTCACTGCTGTTGAAAGGTTTGGGCATGTCCGTGGCAGCTGATCTGAAACCATTTGTCTCTTTTGCTGGCTGCTCTTAGAGCTTCTCAGCTTGTTCTTTTCCATAAGATT